GCCTCGTCCTCAGAGACCAGCCTGCGCAGCTTCAGGGAAAGCAGCTGGGCCCGCATTTGAATGGCGCACTCCATCCCTTCGCAGCACGCCATCGTCTCTCCTGCGAAAGTCGAGCGGCACACCCTCCGGCACGTGTGGGATCTCCAGGCCAGCAGGCTGGCAGCTCCGGGTCTCTTCCCGACGGCGTTCCTCGACACCGCCAGGATTAAGTAGCCGAGCTGCGAGCCGACCTTGTGTCCCGTCACATCGCCCAGGTCCTCGTCCTCCAGGTCGACGTTCCCCCAGGCCGCGTCGTGGTACACCACGATCGAGGACGCCTGACTGATCACGTAGCCCTCCTCGGTCTCCTCGTAGTTGTTGCCGACGTACTTGAAGGAGCCGTTTTCCCACTCCGAAATCGGGAACAGCTCGCCCAGGGCCGCTTGCACCAAGTCCCGGAGCCTCGCCAGAGTCCAAAGCAAGAGGTCGTCCACGTGGGCTTCAAGGAGTCCGCAGGTGTCGCTCCCGTCCTTCGTCGCCAGGTCGTTGCCCTCCGCCTCAACCATGACCAGGTGGAACACGCATGGGTCTATCAAGTTCTGTTCGAACCTGATCTCCCCTTGTCCGGGCACCGGGACCTTCAGCGCGAGGACCTCCGCGACCAGCTTCTCGAACCACAGCCTTGGGCTCGTTGATAGCCCAAACACTCCTTTTACGATCTCTATGAGAACGCCTTCCTTGACCCCCGGCAAGCCGCGGGCCGGCTGTCTGAAGTACAGCCCTCTCGGCGCCTCCACGCCGTTCAAGAAGGCGGCTTGGATATCTCCAATGCTTCCACACCATCCCTCCGACATGGCGCACTGGGTCCCCAGCATCAGGCTTGCCTGTCGATCGCCAGCGGCCTCACCCCTAAGTCGGGGTCTCGATGTCCTCCGACACAGAGTCTGGCCTTGGCCTTGACGGGGACCTCGGGGTTCTTCAGCCTCTGCGCTCTGGCCTTACTTTTCAGGGCGAAGCGGGCATTAAGTATACGTTCTGGAGGCACCTCCTCCAGCACCTGCGCTGTCTCGGCCTTGGACAGCACCCTCACTGCGCAAAAGTCCAGGTGCTCCTGCCATTGCTTCCGCTCGTCTTCGACAAAGGCGGGCCTGTCCAAGGGGCAATGGAGCTCTGGGATCTCCGTCTCCAATTGCTTCTCCCTGCTCGCCACCGTGGCCGCCACCTTGCCGAACCAGATCTCCTTGGCCTCCGGGCGCTCGACCATAATTGCCTGAGCACTCGCCGCGCTGGCCGCCGCTGTTGCGGGATCCACCCTCTGCTTCTTGACCTGCACCGGCACGTCGCCCACACTTGCGCCATCTCTCGGCTACCTCCTCCCAGTCCATGTTCTCGAGCTGCACGAACTCGCCCTCGAGGTCCTCCGCGGCAGTGAGGCAAACCCGACGTCCAGCTTCTTGTCCTCGTCGATGAGCGCTTGGATGTCCCCCATGGCCGCCTTGATCTTTAGCAGCTCGGAGAGCTCCGGGGCGCACAGCAGGCACCTTCCGCCCTTGGACACCCAGAAGTTCTGCCCTTCGGTGCCCACGACGGCGCACGGACCAAGCCACTGCTTCTGAGCGCGCTTCCCCCCTTGACAGTGGGCCGCCGCTCGCGGAAAACATAGACCAGGTCGCCAGGCTCAAAGTTGTACTTCCTCACCCGGCTCTTGCGCGCAAGTGCCCTCTGAACAGCCTCGCTGGTCTGCACCTGCAAGAAAGCGATCCTGGCCGCCTGACGGATGGCGTTCTGCCGCTGGAGCTTCTCGAGTCGATGCTGAAGCTGCTCAGGGCGGAGAGGTCATTGGCCCCATCGACCACGTCTCCAGGGAGCCTCGGGTTGACTGCGAAGACCCACTGCCGTGGCGAGTAGCCATCTTTGTTGCGAAGCTGTCACCTCCGCCATGGCCCACGCCACCTCGCTCTCCGTGACGGCCTCGCTCTCGACGAGTCTGTCCCAGATGTCTTTCCAGACACCATCCTCGAAGACGTTCCTGAACCCGCTGTCCAGGTCCAACGAGAAAGTTCGGGGAGGTCCCGCCCATGCGACCCAGTAGTCCCTCACGGCTGCTGTAAGTGTCTTGGCCTTGGCGTCCTTCACCCTCGCCATGACATGGTAGGTGGAGGCATAGTCGACCATGCTGAGCGCCATGTGCTTTGCGCCGGCTCCGTCGACCAGGTGCACCACGTCGATCTCGAGGAAGTCCAGGACCGGAACTGGCTTGGCCGGCCTGGCCGACTGAATTCTCGCACACGCCCGGCACCTGAGCAACTTGGCCTGGCCAGCTCCTGGTTGGGGATGTGCTCGAGGTTCTGACGCAGCCGGCGCAGCGCCGACCGACGCATCAAAGGTGATGCCTCCAGCGCCGGCGCTCTCGATCTCCGCGCTCCGGGGCCTGTCCGCCACCTCTTCGCCAGCGTAGACGCCCTTGGCCTCCAAGTCTCGGAGCTCGGTCAGGTCCAGCCGCAACAGCCGCCCCAGCCAGTCTTCATGTCCTGCCCCTCGTCGGCCGCCTTCTCCAGGACCCGCGCCATTGTCAGCCGGGTCCGCTCAGGGTAGTTTTCTGCTGCTTCTGCTTGCGCTTGCGCTCTCTCACCCCTAGGCCTTGTCCCTGGACCCAGGGTCGGCTGGGCAGCTCCAGCCACAGCAGGCGCGGTCGCCCGAACGCCACCGTCTCGCAGAGCTCGTTGCAGTCGCACGCGCCCAGCAGGCAGCCGCCATTCTCGGCCAGCGCGTCCATCACCTGGCCCCCCTCGCCCGTCATCCCCGAACCGTCGTCATCGCCAGCCTGCTGTTCGTCCACCTCGCCCTCGGAGTCATCATCTTCCTTGTCGCCGGGGTCTTCAACGATTTGCTGGTAGACCCTTAGCTCAGCATGCAACACTTTCCGAATTGCCTTGGCTTGCTTTAGAATATTGCTCTTTTATTTGGAAATGTCAAAGGAGTAGAGGTCAAGGGGGACTTCGCCCGCGTTCACCCGCGCTTTGGGATCTTCCCCGGCTTCTCGTCCCAGCGGCTCGGCCTGGTGGACGAGGTCGGCTGCGTCTCCTCCTTGTGCTTCTTGGCGGCGTCGCCCTTGCCCTCCAGGTTGCTCGCCATCTGCTGCAGCTTGGCCATGCGTTCCTGGAGCGCCGCCAGCTCCTCCTTGATCATGTCGTGCTCGGACTCCCCCGCCTTGCGGCGGCGCGGGCTCGAGGCTCGGCTGCTTGGCGTTCTCGGGGACACCTTCTACCATTCTCCGCTGCTCGCCGCCGCCGTCCCGGGCGGTGGTGCCAGCTTCCAGTTCTTCTCGGGGTCGTTCTCGGGTAGGCCCGCGCCCTTCGCCTTGTTCGTCTTCTCCTTCTTCTGGTCCGTCCACCACCGAGCGATGCGCTTCAGGTCGTCCGACGCCGACTCCTGGGTCGCCTCTGCCGCCGCCCACTCCAAGTAAGGAACCGGCACTTGGGCATAGGCCCACCCCCAGTACATCCCGAAAGGGACGATGGTGTCGTTCGGGGCTCCATGGGCATCTCGGATCATCTTTGCCAGAGCACCCTTTGTGGGACGCTCGCAGGACCACGTTGCACTTCCGAGCCTCCTCTTTGAGCTGGTCCATCGTCATGCGTGCCAGCCCCTTCGGCACCGTCCCGGAGTCGACGTTGCGCTCGGCCCTCTGTCGCGGATCTCGTTCGTCGTCCAGTCGGGGTGGGCGGCGATCCCGTAGGTCTCCAGCTCGTCCGTCAGGCCCTGCTTGTTCAGCGACCATAGCGCGGGGCGCCGAAGTGGGGTCGGGCGCCGGTTCGGTCGTTTGAGCTTTGTTGAAACAGCTCCGGCCGATCCACAAAGTTGGCTGCTCAGACGTTGGGTCTGGTGCGCTCTTCCACTGTCGGATACAAACTGGGGGCCTCTTACTGGAATCCTCTCTTCAACCACTTCGTCGCCCAAGGCCTGCAACAAGTTCTGCTTTAGACCGACCAAGGATGCATTCCAACTGACTGGGGCGAAAGCGCTCTTTCGGGGAACAACGTGTACCCTGATGAGGTCCTCGAGGGTCTCGATCAAAAATCCTTCTGAACCTTGGTGCCCTTCCACCACCCCAGGAACGCTTCACTCGAAACCTGCTTGGCAACCAACATGTCCTGAACTGCTGGGGGCAACTTCTTGGCATAGAACAACTTCTTCCCTTCGCCCTTTACCTTTTGCTCCTCCCCTGCATGCGCCATATATGCTCGCACAGCGCTCGGGCACCATACTCCATTGTTCCGGCCCAGGTCTTTGACTTGGGTCCAGTCGAGCTGTGGTGGCTTAGCCGCCCCGTCTGGAAACACTGCAATCGCCGGGTGTCCACCTTGGGCCTGCGCCAGGGGAAAATCCTGCCCGCTCAGGACGCCGAAGTCGACGCACTCGCCTCCGAGGTCGATCTTGGCCTTCAGCTTCTTCAGCGCCGGGCGCCCCTACAGAAAGGGAACATCGCAAGCCACCACCGCCACTCTGACCACGATCCACTGGGATCCGACCCTCACGGGCAGCCAGGCCGCAAAGTCCGCCTTGAAGACGCGCGAGGCGCCGAACTTGAAGCACTCGTCGTCCGGCTCGAACATGTACTCCACGCCAGTTCCGTCGGCCTCTTCCATGTAAGCAGTCAGGGTTGGGTATCCCACCACCGAGCTCGCACACGCCGTGTCCAAGATCATGAGCAGCTTGCCTTGTCCTGCCCGCATGGCCACGTGGACCTCCACGACCATGGCTTCATGGGCCTTGCGCCCCTCTCCGCCGCCGAGGCTGGTCATGAGCACCTGCGTGCGGTTGACCGGCTTTCTCTTGTTCAGCGGGCACTCTGCGTCCTTGTGCCAGTGCCCCTTCCGCTTGCAGGCGCTGCAGTAGGACCTCTCCTTGGCCAGCTTCAGCCTGGCCGCTGCCTTCTCTCGCATTGCCTCTGCGTCAAAGCCCCTGCCCTTCACGGCCTCCTTGTATCGGGACCTTGCGTTCTGATGCGCCATGTAAGCGGTGTGGAGCTCCTGGGCCAGGTCCTCGCTCACGACGCAGGCGCGGTCGTCCTCCTCCGTCTCGGCCCCGTCGTCGCTGTCCAGCTCGGTGACGTGCACTCCTCGAGCGCCTCCCTTTCCATGGTTCCTTCCGAGCCGGCTCTCTTCCCATGGCTTTCTCGAGGACCGGTCATGAATGAGAGCCGCTTCCTGCAACCTCTTCAGGTTGTACTCATTCCTGACCGACGCCAAGAGGGAAATCTCGCCCGCCTCGTCCAGCTTGCTTGTCGATGTACATCCAAGCCAGGACGGTCTCGGGGAGACTCACCTGCACCTCGGCCAGTCTCGAGATCATGCGGTCACAGAGAAGCTCCTCACGCTCTGGTCGTGCCCACGCTTAAGCACCCGAAAGAACTGGCTCATGACGCGGCCCACCTGGGTGACCTCGACGTCCATAAAGCGCTCCTTGACCCACGCCTTGAAGTACTGGGACCCGGCCTCGTCGCTGAGCAGGTCCAGGTCCAGCGCCTCCGCTTCCACCCAGGCTCGATCCTTCAGCGCCGAGTACAGGGCCACCCCGCGTTGAGCCACAGGTAGGCGCGTGACCCTCTCCCAGGCCTCGACCTTGCGCAAGTAGCTTCTGGCTGAGCTTCCGACTTCGCCCTCCTCCCCGGCTTGTCCG